ACAATCTCGAGAAGGAGTGATTAGCTGAGAAGCTAGAACATCTGTGTGTGACCATGAAAGAAACAATTGTTTTAATTCAATTGTAACTCTTGCAACAAACTCCTTTCCATTATCACTATGAAGCAACCGTGTGGACCAAAACCAACTGTGAACTTTATAATTGAACTCCCTCTTCTCTGAATGTGAGGGAAGATAAAGAGAAGACAGTTAAGCTAAAAATAAAATAGCGCTACAACTTCGAATTACTGACGCCTTATTAATGGATAAATGATTAAAATTCATTCACATTTTCCTTCAGAAAGTGAGGAGTTGTTATTGTCATGCAGTTATTTTGAAGTTCTGGCTAGCACTGATGAAGGTCATAATATTCATACAAATTATATTTCAGCTTTGTTTTATGAAAAGAGAAAAGGTACTTTTTAAATGCAAATTATGTTTAACGTAGAATATTATAATTATCTTAATCAAACATTTTTTATATATACATTTAGATTACATATATCATATTGATTACAGTATTAATTGTTTATTCATATACTGAATGAGAATATTTGACAAACCGAGACGATTAAAGACCTAATTGAAATGAAATATAAGACTGATAAAACTTGCACTAGAATATACTTCATCGTTTTGAAAAACTTTTTAATCGTCTTTGTTTGTCAAATATTCCCATTCAGTATTTGAAAAAACAATCAGTACTGTAGTCAATATGATATATGTAATCTAAATGTATGTATAAAAATGTTTGATTAAGATAATCATAATCATGGTCACACACAGATGTTCTAGCTTCTCAGCTAATCACTCCTTCTCGAGATTGTGATTATTCTTTAATTCAAGCTCCTTCTAATACATCTAATACATCAGTGGGTAAGTATGGCCTATTACCTAGTAGGAGAAACTAAGAGTATGATTTTAGCACATATAATTAATTTGATGACTTTATCAGTTGTGATCTCTGATTTTCCCATTTTAATTCCAATTTTACCTAAATTCTAATTTTGACTAACTTAGTCAAACTTAGAATTCCAATTTTGCCTAGGCAAATTCCGAATTTGCCTGAATTCTAAGTTTGCCTACAACATATAAATATAAACAGTCATTCTTTCTTTTTTTAAAAACATTGTTATATAGAATACACGTGTATACGCACACATCTACTCAGCTGTTTCTAGGAAACACAAAGATATAATACGATATACTAATATTATCACATATTATGTGATAATATGTGATGATATCAGCCAAAAGGCTTTTAACCAGTTGGACTTCATTCCTCATTAGTTCAAATTCCTTTCGACTACCCTGCTTCTATTCAGCTGAACGGCGTGGAGACAAAAACGACTGAAATGAAGATAAGAAAACCGAGTATTATATTCCTTTCGTTACTCCGTTTAATTTTTTTTTGGATTTTGATTACTTTTTTTTCTGCCTAAAACAACTCTAAACAATGGTCGAACTCAATTCACCAATCACGTTTTTACTAGCGGCACATATTCTTTGCAGTCAAAAATTGGTGTAAAACACATATCAACTTAAGTTCAACGTATTTTAATGTTTAAAAACTAATTTGTGCTCATTAAAATACGATGAACATGGAAAACATTTTAACATGAAATATTTTATTTTTCGAATATTTAAGAAAAATCTTACAAAGTCAATCTTACAAGATCTTACAAAGTCTTGTAAGATTCGTATCGTATGTTTTTGTAAGATTCTTAGTGCAAGAATCGTACAAGATTTTCGCTTCTATCTTATACCAGGACTCTTACAAGATTCTTACTTCACGATCTTATAAGATCCTAGACAAAGAATCTTATGAAATCGTATTGTCTGTAAGATCTTAATCTGATTTTTTGACCTGGGAAACAATACAAGCAGAAAAATGTATTGTGCTTTTTTATAATCTACTTCGCCGCTGTTCGCTTTCAGAGCAGTGCTCAGTTAGTTGATTTAATAAGTATAGCTTGCTTTGTAATTTGTCTTTCTATTACTGTCGAATGCCATCCAAAGCCAAATTATCGGCTTGCATCAGTTCCTCTGGCTAAAGATCAATAGTCTCATGAGCCTACCGGCAGATAAAATAAGACAGATACATTTACCGATCTTAAAATAAGACAAGAAAGCAGTATTTCAAACAAGAAAGCAGACCAACGACATTCATTTCAATACTCATTTCCATACTCATTTTCATCTGACTTCACAGTAAAAACATTCCATCGACCCTTCCTGACTTATCACTCGAATAAATTGTCCATCAACATGCACTACTAACCACTCGTCAGTCTGATCAGAAATAAAGTTACAGATCTCTCTTTCTTTAATGAATGTTCATATACTTTCATATCTTCATTTAGACATAGAACAATCAGAACTGTGCATTGAGAATGGAATCCAAGGTGTCCAAGAACCCAGCTACCCAAAATCGCACCATAAATCTCATGTCAATACAACTTCTATGACCGACACTGATCAAAGACGAAACTTTGAAAGCAATACCATCATCTGGCTGGATGAGAGTGCCAACACTTCCGAAGACAATGTTCGATCAAAAGCTCAACTGCGTCGCACAATCAATTATCTTAAAGTATTTGACAATGCTGATGAATGTGTTGATTACATATCTACCGTACAAACAGAAAGCATCTTTTTAATCGTGTCTGGTTCATGTGGACACACAGTAGTCCCACTCATTCACGATATGAAACAAATCGAATGCATCTACATATTCTGTTCCAACAAACAGTGGCACACCAAATGTGCCAGCCACTTTCCCAAGGTTCATGGTGTTCACACGGACATACAACATGTCTGCGAAGCGGTTCGTAATTGTTCGAAGAACATGATGATACCGATGAATGTCATGCCGTCATCACCGTCGAACACAAACAACAACAGACAAGAAGCATCATTCATGTACTCTCAGCTCCTCATCGAGATTCTGTTTGGACTGGAGAACACTCCTACATCTAAACAAGAGATGATCGATGAATGCCGAAGACAGTATGAAGATAATGAAGAAGAACTGACGATTATTGCTGAGTTCGACAAGAACTATCAAAAGCATCAAGCTGTTTGGTGGTATACGCGCGAGTGCTTTTTGTACCGAATGCTGAATAAAGCACTGCGCGTACAAGACACTGACATTCTCTTCAAGTTTCGCTTCTTCTTCAAAGATCTTCATGACCAACTTATCACACTGCACTCACAGTCCAATGATGGAAAACTAATGCTCACTGTTTATCGTGGACAAGGCATGGTACTTGAAGAGTTTCTGCAGATGAAAGACAATATAGGTGGGTTTTTATCAATGAATAGTTTTTTGTCAACAAGCACAAGCAGAGCTGTTAGTGTTAAGTTTGCTGAACAATGTTTAAATCGTGACGGTGTCGTATCCGTTCTATTTGAAATGGATATTCACGTTTTGAAATGCATCAAACCTTTCTCAAACATTGCACACCTCAGCTATATCAAAACTGAGAATGAAATCCTTTTCTCGATGGGAACCGTGTTTCGAATCGAATCAGTGGAACGACATCATGATAGAAACATCTGGAACGTGAAACTAACCATGACTGGAGAAGAAGATGAAGAATTGAAGAAACTCACTGAACAGTTAAGGAAGGAGATCATAGACGACATCAAGTTGAACAGTCTCGGTCTACTACTGCGACGGATGGGTGACTACACAAAAGCAGAGCAGTACTATATTATGTTGCTGAACGAGACTTCTGCAAACGATTCTAGCATCCCGACGTTTTACGGCAATCTTGGACTGGTGTACGCTGACATGGGTGACTACTTAAAGGCCTTGAGTTATCATGAAAAGACACTGGAACTTGACTTGAAAACACTGGGACCGGACCATCCAGATGTGGCTACGACATACAACAATCTTGGAAGTGTTTACTATCAGATGGGTGACTACTCAAAGGCCTTGAGTTATTATGAAAAGACACTGGAGCTTCAGTTGAAAACACTGGGACCGAACCATCCATCTGTGGCTACGATATACATTAATCTTGGACTGATTTACAAAAATATGGGTGACTACTCAAAGGCCTTGAGTTATTTTGAAAAGACACTGGCACTTCAGTTGAAAACACTAGGACCGAACCATCCATCTGTGGCTACGACATACATCAATCTTGGAAGTGTTTACTATCAGATGGATGACTACTCAAAGGCCTTGAATTATTATGAAAAGACACTAGCACTTGACTTGAAAACACTAGGACCGAACCATCCATCTGTGGCTACGACATACAATAATCTTGGAAATGTTTACTCCAAGATGGGTGACTACTCAAAGGCCTTGAGTTATTATGAAAAGACACTGGAACTTGATATGAAAACACTAGGACCGAACCATCCATCTGTGGCTACGACATACAATAATCTTGGAAATGTGTACAGTAACATGGGTGACTACTCAAAGGCCTTGAGTTGTTATGAAAAGACACTGGAACTTGAGTTGAAAACACTAGGACCGAACCATCCATCTGTGGCTACGACATACAATAATCTTGGAAATGTTTACTCCAATATGGGTGACTACTCAAAGGCCTTGAGTTATTATGAAAAGACACTGGAACTTGATATGAAAACACTAGGACCGAACCATCCATCTGTGGCTACGACATATAATAATCTTGGAAATGTGTACAGTAACATGGGTGACTACTCAAAGGCCTTGAGTTGTTATCAAAAGGCTCTCGAAGTTATGCGGAAATCTCTCCCGGCTACTCATGCTTCTATCAATGTGTGCGAAAGAGCAGTGGCGGACATGAGTAAAAAACTGATGAGACTTTCATAACTTCTCAAAAGCAGTTGATTATTGTGAGGTAATAAAGCGGAAACTAGATGGATGTCTGTAAAGTATCGGTCATGGTTTCGTAATTCGGAAAGCATTTCCGCAATATTCCTTAGTATTAATTATTTTACTATCTCTGAATGTTTCAGTGGAGGTTCTCACAGATTTAAATCGATTAAGCACGGTATCTGTTATAGCATAGTTATTATTTTGAATCACCAATACCTGCGGAACGTTTGTAGGAAAACGTTTATGTATTGGTTGAAACAAAGGAAATTGTGACAAAAGATGAGCATTCTGAAGTTCCATAGACCTACGTGATTAATAGTCACTGGTTATATAACTATTTTGCGTCTTCAGTAATCCGCTTCAAAGTTCCATCCTTTAATTTTGACGTTTCGTGCAAACATAGAATAAATCCCTCTGTACAAAATAAGACGTTCCTCAAGTCCAGATGCCCTAATAGCTGCGTCGCAAAAATGTACCTCTATGCTCCAAAAAAGAGTAATTTTTCCTGCCTGTCTGTTTGCGTATGCAGTATGCTTTCTAGAAGTTTCTTTTATCTATTCGTTTTTAGTTTATAGTAGACTAAAAAAGTACAGTAGTAAAGAATGGCATAAGATGTACCGCTAGATATTTCTTTTAATACAATCGGCTATAATGAGTAAAAAGTCTGATGTACAGAGCGTCAAAAACTCACCAATCGTTCAAACTTATCAGGTTGATGAAAAACCTGTAAAGGGAGCAAAAGCATCATGACATTTATCAAAAGAAGATACGTCATTGAAAACGTATTTGAAACCAGTAAAAAGTATTGAGAATGTTTTATGAAGGATCAAATCCAAAATACATGCTCGAACATAAGTGCCCTGTGTGTACTCAGGCAGAAAAGAGTGAGCACGGAAATCTGGCTTATCGGATAACTCAAGCGTCCTCTCGATCGTGGAATTTTTCGGTCGAATAGCTGACTGCGCCGAGCAAGTGCGCACTTGCTAGGTGCAAGTGGTCGATCCAGTGGGCAGTTAACTGAGCGATTAGCGTCGAATGGAAATACATCAGCCAGCTTCAACCCACTTAAGCCAGCTTTGACGGGTTAAAAATTGCGTCAGATAGCTGCAACCGCCCACTTCAGGATGTATTTCTCCTTGGACACCTCTCGTACCAATAAGACCGTTGCTATGGGTCATAAGACGCAGGGAAAAATTGCATAGATTATCTGGACATCAGAGAAAACTTAAACTCAAAGTATAAAATTTATGGGACTGGCATATTTATTGAATCTCACGGACAAAACTCGATTTTCTGTTTATTCTGTCCACCGTGGCGAAAGTAGATAGTTTTCTAATGTACAAGAGAAGTGTTCGATCGATTTGATGCAGATTTATTATTTAAACATACCGGTTCTGATGTATTTGTATAAAGAATATAAGTATGAATTGCAACAGAATAATGTATAGGATAACAGGCGTTGTTTTTTAATGTATTCAACCAATAATCCAAATGATAATATAACATTTTTGAATGAGTATTTAACTGTGGAATCATGGATGTTATTTCTTAACAAATAGTTAGGATAAAACTCATTTCCACAAATATTACAACAGATTTTCATTAATGTATATTTTTAAGCCCCATTACTAGAATGTATTGTAGCGGTTTTTCCAAAAGCTGGTTTTGGTAATGCTACGTTACAGTTGCGGACGGAATAAAGGTTTCAAGTTTTTTGGTGCTTTAGTAAATCATTTATATCTGTTTGAGGAAAAGAATAATTATTCTATGTAAAGAAGATAAAATCTATGACTTCTTATACATCATCTTTTTCTTTCGGGGGCACAGAAAAGAAGGAAAAAAACAACCGACGGCAGAATTGTACAATTTACATATTCCCAGGTCAAAGAAAACAGACATAAATGAGCCATTTATGAGCAATAAATAATATGGGCTTAAAATCACGTTAGAATGATCATGCGATGGCTTAAAAATGATGTAGCAATGGCATCATTTCATGCTCATCCTTAGATCATTTTAAAATCATAGAAAGAAAAATGGACTAAATATGACCTTGCGATGATCATCTCGTTTTAGGTCATAATTGCATCATTTTAAGACCATATTTGTATGAGCTTGTGTGCCAGTTTTATGATC